ATGGCATCACTGGAGAATTCTACCAAACATTTAAAGATGAATTAATATCAGTTCTTCTCAAAGTCATTCAAAGAATTGAAAGGAGGTAGGGGGGAATTCTTCCAACCTCATTCTATAAGGCCAGCATTAGTCAGATGCCAAAACCAAACAAAGACACAACAAGAAAAACTATAGACCAATATCTGCCCTGCTTATCCACAGGCGATATGTTCTATGACTCCCAGTGGATGCCTGAAACTGTGGAGAGTACTGGACCCTATTTATACAACATTTTTCTATACATATGTACGTATGATAAAGTTTAATTGATAAATTTGGCACAGTAAGAGATTAACAATAAAATAGAACAATTATAATAACATACTGTAATAAAGGTTATGTGACTGTGATCTCTGTCTCTCAAAATATCTTACTGTACTCACCCTTCCTTTTGTGATGATGTGACATGATAAAATGCCTATGTGATTAGGAGACATAGCATTAGGCTCCTATTGACCTTCTGGTGATATGTCAGAAGAACAGTCATGAGCTTCTGGACGAGGTTGACCATGGGCAATTGAAACTGAAGAAAGTGAAACCACCGGTGAGAGAGGACCACTGCATACACTACAGCCCAGTGGAATACAAGGATGGTTCAACATATGAAATCGATGGAATATATACTATGTTAGCATAATGAAGGACAAACGCCACATCACTATCTTAATTGACGCCAAAAAAAAGCACTTAACAAAACTCAGTGTTCTTTCATGTTAAAAACTCTCAACAAGTGAGAAAAATAGAAGGAAATTACCTTAACATAATAAAAGGCATATATGAAAAACTCACAGCTCCCATCACATTCAACAGTGAAGACCAAAAGTTTCTACTCTAAGATCAAGAACAAGGCAAGGACACCCACTCCCATTACTCCTATTCAACATACTACTAGAAATCCTAGCCAGCACAATTAGATAAGAAAAAGAAAATGAAAGGTATCAAAATTGGAAAGAGAGAAGTCAAGTTATCTCTGTTTGCAGATGACATGATCTTGCATGTGGAAAGCTCTAAAGATTCCACACACACAAAATTTTAAAACTAATAAACAATTCCAGCCAAGTTGCAGGATATAAAAAGAATCAACAAAATCAGCTGCATTCCTATACTAACAATGACTAATACACAAAGGAAATTTAAAAAACAATTCCATTTGCTACCGAATCAAAAAGGATTATATACTCAGAAGTAAATTTAACTGAAGAGGTGAAAGATTTATACACAGAAAACATCACTGAAAGAAATCAAAGAAGATGTAAATAAGTGGAAACACATCCCACTTTCATGGATTGGCAGACTTAATATTGTTAAAATGTCTATATTACCCAAAATGATCTATAGATTCAATAAACCCTCTATCAAAATCAAAATGGTATTTTTTTGCAGAAATAGAAAAAAAAATCCTAAAAAGGAATCTCAAGGGACCCCAAATGGCCAAAAAAAGTCCTTGAAAAGAAGAACAAAGTTAGAGGCCTCAAAATTCCTGATTTCAAAACATATACAAAGTTACAGTAATCAAGTTTGGTTTAGCACAAAGACAGAAATACAGACCAATGGAACAGAATAGGGAGCCCAGGAATAAACCCTTGAGTATTCGGCCAAATGACTGTCAACAAGGGAGCCAAGACTACACGATGGGAAAAGGACAGTCTTTTCAAGAAGTGGCAAAGGGAAACTGAATATCCACATGCAAAAGTATGGAGTCCCAGGGTGCCTGGGGGGCTCAGTCGGTGAAGCATCCAACTTCAGCTCAGGTCATGATCTCATGGTTCGTGGGTTCGAGCCCCGCGTCGGGGTCTGTGCTGACAGCTCAGAATCTGGAGCTTGTATTCAGATTCTGTGCTCCCTCTCTCTCTGACCCTGCCCTGCTCATGCTGTCTCTCTCTCTCTCTCTGAAAAATAAATAAAACATTAAAAAAATTGTTTTTTTAAAAAAGATAAAAGAATGGAGTTCCACCCTTACCTTGGACTATACACAAAAATTAACTCAAAAGGGTTAAAGACCTAAACACATGACCTAAAACCATAAAATTCCCACAAGAAAACACAAGGGGAAAGGCTGTATTTGCCAATGATTTCTTCAATGTGACACCAATAGCAAAAATAGACACTTGGGACTACATCAAACTTAAAAACTTTGGTGCATCAAGGAAACAATCAGTAGAGTCAAAGGCAACTATGTAATGGGAGAAAATATTTGCGCATACATCTGATAAGGGGTTAATATCCAGAATACATAAGGAAATTCTACAGTTCAAGAACACTAACTAAAAAATGAATAATTTGGTTAAAAATGAGCAACGGGCTTGAATAGACATTTGTCCAAAGATGATATACAAATGGCCAACAAGCATATAAAAAGATGCTCAATACTGGGGCATCTGGCTGGTTCAGTTGGTAGAGCACGTGAGTCTTGATCTCAGGGTCATGAATTCAAGCCCCATACTGGACATAGAGATTACTTAAAACAAGATGCTCAAGGGGCACCTGGGTGGCTCAGTCGGTTAAGCGTCCGACTTCGGCTCAGGTCATGATCTCATGGTTTGTGAGTTTGAGTCTGTGCTGACAGCTCAGAGCCTGGAGCCTGCTTCAAAGATTCTGTGTCTCCCTCTCTCGCTGCCCCTCCCCTGCTCACACTCTGTCTCTCTCAAAAAGAAACATTGAAAAAAAAGATGCTCAATATCACTCATCATAAGAGAAATGCAAATCAAAACCACAATGAGATATTGCCTCATATCCATTAGGATGACCACTAGCAAAAGAACAGAAAATAACACATTTCTGGCAAGGATGAGAAGAAATGAGAATCTTTGCGTGCTACTGGTGGGAATGTAAAATGGTATAGCCATTACGGAATACATTACGGCACTCCCTCAAAAAATTACAAATAGAATTACCTTATGACTCAGCAATGCCACTGCTGGGTAGATATCCCAAAGAATAAAAGCAGGATTTTGAAGAGCTATTTGCACACCCATATTCATTGTAGCATCATTTACAATAACCAAGAGGTGCAAACAACCCAAATGTCCATCGACAGTTGAATGGATAAAGAAAAGGTGGTGTGTGTGTGTGTGTGTGTGTGCGTGCGTGCGTGTGTGTGTAATATGCAGACTTAAAAAAAAGAAGGAAATCCCGTGATATGCTACAATATGGATGAAGCAGAAGAATATAATGCTATGTGAAATAAGCCGGTCACAAAGGGACACATCAATATGATTGATATATAATTCCACTCCTAGCGAGTATCCAAAGTAGTCAACATCATAGAAACAATGTAGAATGATGATTGTCAAGGGCCAGGGATAGGAAGTACTGTCTAACGGGTACAGAGATTCAGTTTTGCAAGATGAAGTTCTTCAAACTGATGATTATCAGAGGGGAGATGGGTGGGGGCTGAAGCAAGTAGGTGATGGGAATAAAGGAGGGCCACTTGTGATGAGCACCAGGTGACATATGGACGTGCTGACTCGCTATATCGTATGCCTGAAACTAACATAACACTGTGTGTTAACGACACTGGAATTACAATTTAAATAAATAACTAAAAAGAGAAACATAAAAATGATGAAAAAGTTCTGGAAACCTGTTGCACAAAAATGTGTAACAGTACTTCATGCCACTAACTTGTACACTTAAAAATGGTCAAGATGATAGATTTAATGTGACGTGTTTTATAGCACATGGCAATCTGAAGTTTAAAGTAAAGAACCTTGACAATCTTCAGCATCTAGATGGAAAAAAAAGTCCATATCTACTACCGTCAATTAGACTCTAGAAGGTCATTTCATGTGGATTAGAAATAAATGATTTAAGTACATATTAAACAGAAACGAGGGAGCTGGGGTTGCTCAGTGGGTTAAATGTCTGACTCTTGATCTCAGCTCAGGTCATGATCCCCTAGTCTGTGGGATTGAGCCCCATGTCAGGCTCTACACTGACAGCAACAGGCCTGCTTGGGATTCTCTGTCTCATGACAGGTGCAAGCCCCTCCCCCACGTGTGTGCACTCTCTCTCAAAATAAATAAATATACTTAAAAAAAAAACAGATACAAAATGAGGCTAAGAATTTCATTTTTTAAGTTTTAGAAAGCCCTACAAAATCAATTTTCTTAAAATTCACAAACAATAAGTACGTGAAACTCTGATCAAAATACAATGAAAACATGCTTGGTGAGGGAGAGTGCAAACCTGCGTATTTAAGAGAAGACGGGATCGCTAGGGTTTCATTCCGAGTCACAACCCAGCATCCAATCTAATGACTACAAGCCCACTGGCGGTCCCAGGGTGCCCCAGACCACACTCACACTCTGTGTCCCAACACCTACTGGCCAGTTTGTATCGTAAAAAGCTCTACAGCGTCCACGGCGTGCTCATAACAAGCCAGGGTCTTCTAGGCTACATTACCGTCAGGTATTTAATTTCCCTAGAGCCTAAAAACTTAGAAAAGTGGCCTGGCATATAAGAGATAAACTTTCAATATGACAATTATGAAATTATAGAAAAGGTAAGGGCAAACTATGCTCTGACAGACAACATCAGTATCTAGAACATCACTGGCAATTTAAAAGTATGAGCTTATCCAAATATTTTACAGATAGTCAAGGTTGGTCTGGCGACCTGAGTTTTGCTCTGTGCCAGGGATGAACCGGGGAAGAGCGTATTCATTTTTACATAGGTCACATTCCCATTTGTGTTTTCAAAAGAGGACTTTAAAATACAAAATGGTGCACCACGCTGTTAGCCAATGGGATTTCAGAGACAGTAAGATTAAGTCATCCAAAAAAATGCAGAATAACAAACTTATATAGGTCCTGATATGGCAACACACTAAATCTTATACTTTTATGAATTTTAATTTTAATTCAGACAAGAAATTAACATGGGCCATACGAAAAGGCGACATTCATTTTAAATCTGAGACGAACTCCTTTCAGAGTTCACTTAAGGCGCGCTGTACCTACCTTTTGGCGGCCGCGGCCACAGCAGTTTCTTTCCTGGCCCCGGAAGGGGATGGCAGAGAGCCACTAGGTTTCTTTGGTAACACGGTGCCGTTGTTGATGGTGGTTCTTAAGGGCAAGGTCTGCACCAGGGGTCTTGCTGTGAGATGAGCAGAAAATGCAATCAGAACTTTCCCCTGTGTCAGGGTAACGTTGTACAGACAGTCAGGAAGGAGAGGATACAGATTTTAAAATGCTGGTAATACTGACAAAGGCACCAAGGGAATTCAGCAGGGATTTTCAACCAAGGAGCGCTGGGAACAAAGGGTTGCTAGATCCCAACCTCACCTCTTACACAGCAACGAACTCAAAGTGGACCCAAGCCCAGAGTGTAAAACACAAAGCTATAAAACTTCTAGCTGAAGACAAAGGAGAAAAATCCGTGTGACCTTGGGTTTGGTGGCTTTGTAGATACACCACCAAAAGCACGATCCGTGAAAGAGAAAAACAGATTGCTTGGACTTCATTAAAATTATGAAAACGTTTGCTCTGTGAAATGCATTGTTCCAGGATGAAAAGATCAGCCACAGACTGGGAGAAAGTATCTGCAAATCACATATCTGATACAGGACTTGTATCCGGAATATAAAAAAAGAACACTTAAAACTGTCAGAACACAAGCAGCCCAATTAAAAAAAATGGGCAAAAGATCTGAACAGACACTTCACCCTAGACAATCTACAGATGGCAAATAAACATATGAAAAGATGCTCCACGTTGTTTGTCATTAGGGAAATGCAAATTAAAACCGTAATGAGGTATCTCTATACACCTATTAGCGTGGCTAAAATCCAAAAAACAAACAAAATAGCAATGCTGGCCAGCATGCAGAGTGACAGGGTTCTCATTCATGGCTGGGGGGGAATGCGGAATGGTACAGACGTCCTGGAAGACAATCTGGCAGTTGCTCAATTTAGTCTTATGGTAGGATCCAGTCACGGTGTGGCATTAGGTATTTATTTACTCGACTGATTTGAAACTTATGTCTGTGTAAAAGCTGCATTTAATATTTATAGCAGTTTTATTCCTAATTGTCAGAAATGGAAGCAGCCAAGAAGTCCTTCATTGGGTGAACAGATAAACAAACTGTCCATCCAGACCATGGAATATGATTCAGCAAAAAAGAAAAAAAAAAAAAAAGAAAAAAAAAAGTGAGGAAGAAATCCACGCAAAGGACAGGGCTGAGGCTTATTAAATCCATGCTGTTAAGTGAAAGCAGCCAGGCTTGAAAAGCTGCATTCTGTATGATTCCATTTATATGACATTCTGTAAAAGGCAAAACACTGGGGCGCCTAGGGGGCTCAGTCAGTTAAGCGTCTGACTTTGGCTCAGGTCACGATCTCATGGTTCGTGGGTTCGAGCCCTGCGTTGGGCTCTGTGCTGACAGCTCAGAGCTCGGAGCCTGGAGCCTGCTTCACATTCTGTGTCTCCTTCTCTGCCCCTCCCTCGCTCACTTCTGTCTGTCTTTCAAAAATAAACATCAAAAAATCGTTTATAAAAGGCAAAACTACAGAGACACAAAACCAGCTCAGTGGTTGCCAGAGGTTGGCCGGGGGGGGAGGGGGGTGTGCAGAGGGCTGGGATAAGGCCCAGGAGGATTTTAGGTAAAATGATTCTGGGTGGTGCGGTATGGTGGCTATGTGGCACCACGCATCTGTCAAAATCTACAGGCTCTTAATGCACAGAGAATGAACCTGAACATAGAGAAAAATCAGTTAGGAGATGGGGGAACCCATGATGGATAGAAGAATCAAACTACGTTACGATCATGTACTATAAAGTCGTGGAAGCGGGTGGGGCAGGGGAGGTGCTGTGGAAAAGGGGAGAGACTGTCTGCCTACACCCGAGGACACGGTAAGCACTGTGCTCCAGTCAGTGACACTGTTTCCCACAGGGCACGGTCTACACCCCTGAAACCACTAGGGTGAACACTAGGGCGAGACCAATTCAGCAACAGCATGGAGGGTGGCGGGAGCAAGGCTTCGCTGTTGCAGAGCGAGGCTACGGACCAGCCAGGGGGAGGCTACAATGAGCCAGGTTTACAGCTACAGACACAAAATCATACGTGTGTATGTAAACACGGGTTAGTATAAACACAGACACGATCCCACAACAACAGAGGAGCCTGGACTCCTTGGAGAAATGCCCAAATCTGGGGCTGCGGCAGGGCACCCACAACGTGGGCCCGGAGCATCCTGTACTACCCGACGGAAAGGAAGTGCTCAAAAGCTATAATAAACTCCCAACCCCTATACTGATGGGGCCAAGTCAAAGGGACCCAGGAGTCAACTGAAAGAGCTCCCCGTAGCCAAAGCTGGGAAAACCGCAGGAACAAACTACATAAGGTAGTACCGGACCACAGCCCTGAAGTATACAGCAAGCGTCCATGAGTCCATACCAATACAAGTCGATAAGTGAGTAAATGATTAAATGGGGGGGGGGGGGGGGAGGATACGTCTCCAGTGCAGAATTCCAGATCATTGACGTAGACACTCGAGAAGGTGGAGCGCAGTTCTCTACTCCTTAAGTGTGGACGGCATAGTGACTGCCTTCCGCACGGTCCACTGTGGAAGTGGGTGGGGCCGGGTGGAGTCACTGCAGTGTGGACAAACCTGGCAAACTCTGTCGAGGCCAATGTCATGGTGAGGAGTCCCGTCGATAGTATATGTGCCCTTGACAGGATGTGACGGGAATGCATTTTTCGAAAACTCTACCGTCTTCCTCCCCCAAACCCATGACCTACCCAAACCCAAGGTGAAGGATAACGAGCCATCTGACCAGGGCTCCTCTGAACTGTCAGGGTCAACAGAGACAAGGGAAAAGTCTGAGAAGCTGTCCGTCTAGGGGAGCCCGAGGGGACGTGATGACTAAAGGTGATCCTGGCTGGGATCCTGGAACTACAACAGTAAAGGGGATTAGGGGTAAACTACGGAAATCTAAATACAGTGTGCCTTTAATGAAAGCACATCACATGGCAGTATACTAATACAAAACGTTAATCATGGGAACTAACCCTGTACTAACCCCATAACTCTTCTGTAAATCTAACACTATTCTGAAATTAAAAAAGAAATGATTTGAAATGCTGGAGAATTTATTCTGTCCATCACAGGATTAAAGCTGCCTCAATTTACGTTCTTGAAAACAATAACAAAGCTGCATAGAATGCCAAGTTTTGGACGCACTGGAACTTTTCAGCCCCTAAAGCAGAAGCATCCCCTCCTGGGTTAGTGCACCCCCCCGCCCCCCACCGCCCGGCCAGGCAGGATCGGCTCTTTTGTAACCTCAGCGATCTGCTCTCATTCTGTCCCTACGGCCTTATTTTTCCCACCACGTCCCCGACGCTTCGTGCCCCACAAACCAACAAGCCAAACAGTGCCAGCTCCTCAGCTCTGCGTCTGGCGGGTGGCACATGGGTGTGCACACCCACCGAGGGGTGGCTACAGTGCACACCGCGGGGCTCCTGCCCCGGTATTTCCGATCCGGGGTCTGGGGTGCAGCCCGAGAAGCTGCCTTTCTAGCAAGCTCTCAGGGCATGCCGCCGTTGCTCTGGGGACCTCACTTTTGAGACCCAGAGGCTATGCCCACTGTCCCTTCCTGGCCATTTCTGCCCTCCTGGGTGGCCTCTCCACCCGAGCTCCTACACCAGTCTGTGCCTCACAGCTGAGCACTGGCTTACACACTGCAGCTCTGGGTGAGCTCATCTCACTCTGCAGAGCAGAGGGGGTGGCAGACGCCTGTGCTGGGAGGGGTGTCCCCTAGATCTCTGCACCCTGTCCGTGTGCTCTGCTCGCCCTGCTCCAGAGGTAGGCAGCCCGGGTATCACCCCTCCTGGGCCCCAGGGGCTGATGGGGGAGGGGGGAGCAGTTACTTGAACCTAAAGGGAGAGAAACTGCTTTGGGAGCGGAAGCAACACGCAGGGGAGGGACAGAGCCAACCCCAGGGACCCCGTGTGGAAGGAGCCAAGGAGGTGGATGCTCTGACCCCGTCTTCCCTCCTCCCAATCCCTAGTGAGGGCTCCCCACGCCCAGAACTAACTGGGAGGTGGAGGGCAAGGGCACGCAGGTCAGCCTGCAGGGGGGAAGCTGGCCAGAGGAGGGTAAAGAGAGGAACTGGGAGGGCGCCTGGGCAGCTCTGTCAGCTGAGCGTCCAACTCTTGATCTTGGCTCAGATCATGATCTCACGGTTGGTGAGGCTGAGCCCCACGTCAAGGTCTGTACTGACAGCATGGAGCCCGCCTGGGATTCTCTCTCTCTCTCTCTCTCTCTCTGCCCCTCCTTGCACTGCTCTCTCTTTATCTCACTCTCAAAATAAATAAATAAAATTTTTTTAAATTTTTTTAATGTTTTATTTATTTCCAGAAGCGAGAGAGAGAGACAGCATGAGCAGGGTAGGGTCAGAGAGAGAGGGAGTCACAGACTCTGAAACAGGCTCCAGGCTCTGAGCTGTCAGCACAGAGCCCGACGCGGGGCTCGAACCCACGAACGCGAGATCATGACCTAAGCGAAAGTCGGACGCTTAACCGACTAAGCCACCCAGGCGCCCCAATAAATAAATATTTTTAAAAAATAAAAAAGAAAGGACCCAGAGGGGCCCAAGGAGGATGTCTTGAACCCAGGTCTTCTCCGGCCTCTGGTCCAGGACCCCCACCCCCACCACACACACACACACACACACACACACACACACACACACGCCACCCAACCAGCCAACCAGGCTGGGCGAGCCTCCTCCCTGCTCCCACTGCCCGGCCTGTCTGCTGTCACCACACCCGGGACACCACATGGCAGTCGTCTGTGTGTCCACCTGTCCACGCCAACCACGGCGGGAGGCTCCTGGGCGGCGGTACCTGTCGTGATGCGCCCACAGCGGGAACGCAGCACGTACCTGTCCATCAGCCTGCACGGCACCTCGAGAAAAGAGTCCGCTTCTAAGAGAAGGCGTTATGCTACCATTTCTGAGTCATTATGAATTTTTTTAAAGTTTTTCTCAAGTCATAATGTCAAAATCCAGTCTCATAATAACCTAGTTCTGTCCTTTTCCAAAGGGGGAAAGAGGGCTGTGGAAGCCCATGAAGAAGTCGTCAACCACACACAGCAG